TCTTTATTGAGATCATCTTCAGGGCTCAAAATGTTAGTTTTCTGCGAAATTGTGCCATTTTTGTGTGTCGTGTTGAGTCGACTTGTCACACAAGAATGGCACAATTACGCAAAAACTAACATTTTTGAGCCCTGAAGATGATCTCAATAAAGATCGAAACGTTGGCACAATAAAGAAAATGCTTTTCTAAAACCTACGCACAGCAGACCTCGTCTCACAATTTTCGAATAAAAAACGATTTATTTTGCTTACTGTCATTTAAGAAAGAAGTTTCCAAAACTGTTGGGTTGGGTAGTACATCAAATTTGAGGGAACCTAAATGATAAAAATATTGTTAAATTAGTTATTAGTCGATTTTATTTTTTACCTTTCTCTAATATAACTCTTTGCTAAATCGCTTGCTATTAAGTTTTAAACAAATTAAATTAATTGTCTTCAGATTGTCTCTTATATGTTTAAATTATTCGCTTAGATCAAAGGTTTGCATCTGTTGCTGAGCGAAAGGTCAAATTACTTCATTGACTATTGCAATCTTTCAAAACACACAACAAAAAACACATCTCGTCACTTTACAACTGAATCCAATTATTTTTGTAATTTATCTAAAAAGCTTTTTCGAGTGGGGGCTTTTCCGCCGTGCTTAATAGTTCAAGGAATGCATGTTGCATTGTAAAAAGGTAACTTTACCTAGAAAAAACAAGCAAATTTGATGTAATCGAGATAAAGCATCAGCCGGAAAAATTCAATTAATATATGTTCAAAAATATATGTTAAATATTAATGAGTCGCATTTATTCTAAACTTATGCAATTCTTCAGTTTTTAATATTCCGTATTATTTTCTGTGTGTTTTGCTTGAAAACTGTTCTACATGGACATATACAAATATAAGAAGATTATGATTATTTATTTGTTTATTTATTTTGCTAAAAATCAGGGTCTACCAACACTGATGTCATTTCAGCCCTTACTCAAGTTTATGCGTCGGATACTTTAAATTCCGCCATCAACCCTCTCGTTAAATTCACACACTCACAATAATTAAATTATTTACAAATTTCACATTCATATAAATATATACAAATAAATATACACACATATACAGGGTGTCAACAAAAACACGTCCTTAATATTTTTTTAAGTCTAGTTTCACATTTTTACTTTTATTTGGAGAAAAATTATACAGGTTACATCAGGCCCAGTTCAACATAAAAATTTCAAATACAACCCTATACACCCTGACAGATAATTTTAAAGGATTTTTTACGCTGAAAACATTGGTGAATTCGGATTTTAAATTGGTCAAAAAATGACAACGTTATGGCAAAAATTTGAAAAACCGCATTTCATTATTTTTTTTTTTTTTTTTTTTTACGATGGTTCGCAACAGCAGAGGTCATATAAACCCTCAGGGTGCCGGTGTTTTTGAAAAAAAAGCCCATTTGTAAGTATGTCGGGTTCGAATGCAGGGCCGCTGGATTCGAACACGGGACCTTTACCTTACAGTGATGAGCGCCGTGTCAAAGACTAAACCTTGCGGCCACCGACGCCCCCATTTCGTTATTAATTCGAATAATTTGCTTATTCACTAAAGTAAACATTAATTGCCGGTATTGTTTACATTAGAATATTGAATATTTTCTGTGGGACCATATAAAAATAGTGTCTAGTGTACAGCTTTAGTGGCTCCTTGTTATGCGAGCAAGCAATTGGAGCCTGTCCCGACATTAGACCTACGAATTGTGGTTCTGGTCTCTCCTTGGAAAAATATATGTAATGGTAGTAGATTCAGAAGGACAAATAGGTCAGTAGTCTCACAGAACCAATGATTTTCAAGCATGCTAGTCTCTGAGCAGTACCCAGGATCTTGACCTTCCTTGCTTTGTCCACCCAACCACCCATCCGTAGGCTATCATGGATGTATGGGTGCATAGCCATAGAGGCAGTTTTGCGTTTAGTCCCCAACTGTTCCACAAGGACGATTACTTCTACCAATGGCAATGGGGTAGCTACAAGAAGAGAATCGGTTTGGCATCGTCTCCGAACTGTCCCACTTGCGATTGCCCTTCAAATCCTTCCCCCATAATTTTTGAATGTCCAGAATATGAAAATGAAAGAGACAAACTGCTAAAAAATCTGAGCAAAGTCCCAAACATTTCTAAACCAATAAACTTAGAATCTGTCCTAATAAGCAACAATCCATCAGCTTTCAACATAATCTATGGATTTCTAAAAGTCGATAAACGTTTCTTTTTGATTATCTTCAACCATGAAAATTTCACGCTCGATAGTAACTGCATGGGTAATGAAAGTCTTGGAACTCAATTCCACACAATTCAGCTATATATTGTTGATTTCTAAATGAATGAACGTTGAGTTCCAAGTGGATGAGCATTGATACATCAAATTGGTAGATTTAATTGAGTATTTTTAATATATATTACTGTTGAGTTCCTCTAAGCAGGATATAAAGTTTTAACAGGGTGTTTATGTGATACATTATTATATTCTTGGTTTAGTTCCAAGTGACTGAATAATCTTTCAGTTAATTAAGGTTTTTAGTTGAGATAAAAAGTCAATGGCACGACGGGATTCGAACCCACGATCTTCGGCTAGATACGCCGCTACTCTACCACTTGAGTATTGTGACTTCGATCCACGCAGACACTAACTTCCCATCTCAACGCCACCTTTTGAATTTTGATTTGAAAAATGGCGAAAAGGAGGGAAAATTCAAAAGTTGGGGTTGAGATGGGAAGTTAGTGTCCAAATGGATCGAAGTAACGATAGGTCAAGTGGTAGAGTATCGGCGTATCTAGCCGAAGGTCGTGGGTTCGAATCCCGCTCGTGACACTGACTTTTATATCTCAACTAAAAACCTTAATCAATTGAAAGATATTAATTGGTCAAGCGGACCACGAAAACTAGTGACTTTAAGACTGAGTAATGATACATTACCCTTGTAACAAACAAATTGATATGAACGTGAAGGATGCGATGGACTTTGGAACTCGTGGGAGACAAGAGGGCAGAAAGGCTGAAAGGCGGAGGACAGGATGCTTTCCATTGGGAGACTGCGAACAAACCACCTCGAACATAGCTGCTTCAACTTGGCCTGTGAAGAATCATCTTATGAGAAAATATCAGGAAAACGGCATTCATCGTGTGAGTTTTTTCCTATTCCAAATTTCCTTAATTTTATTCCTTGGTGATTGCGCATACGTAAATATGAATTCATTTATTTTTAAAAATAGTTTAAATACTACTTAATTATATTTTGAGGTTTTTTTTATATTGTTTCAAGAAGAATTGGTTTATTTTTTTGTAAAAATTTAAGTTTTAAGATTCAATTTAAAAGAAAGAAGAGTGTAAATATAATTTTAGAAAAGAAATAATTGGATTGAATAAATTCTGTTTCCCTTACAGTGCCTTTTATTTTTAAATTTTTCTTTTTATTAAAATAATAGTAATAGTAAAAAAATTACAATTATTACTATAATTGTTAAAATTGTATTTTAATTTTTTCATAAAAAATACCCTAAAAGTCTAACACGCTGGTGCAGATTTAACTGAGTATTTTTTGATATGTATTACTGTTGAGTTCCTCTAACCTGGATATAAAGGTTTATAAATAATGTTGGTTAAATTCTAACAGGGTGTTTATGTGATACATTATTACATTGTTGGTTGAGTTCCAAGAGGCTGAGTAATGAAACATTAGGCTGGTGTAGATTTAACTGAGTATTTTTTTATATGTATTACTGATNTGATTGAGTTCCTATAAGATGGATTTAAAGGTTTATAAGTAACGTTGGTTAAGTTCTAACAGGGTGTTTGTGTGATACATTATTACATTGTTGGTTGAGTTCCAAGAGGCTGACTAATGAAACATTAGGCTTGTGTAGAGTTAACTAATATTTTTTGATATGTACTACTGATTGAGTTCCTATAAGATGGATTTAAAGGTTTATAAATAAGGTTGGTTAAGTTCTAACAGGATGTTTATGTGATACATTATTATACTGTTGGATGAGTTCCAAGAGTTTGAGTAATAATACATTACGCTGGTGTATATTTAACTGAGTATATTTTGATATGTATTAGTGATTGAGTTCCTATAAGATGGATTTAAAGGTTTATACATAATTATTCTTTTTATGTAAGTTTTGGTTGAGATAAAAAAAGTCGGTGTCACGATCTTCGGCTAATTACGCCGCTGCTCTTTTCTAATTTTCCCTCTTTTTGCCGTTTTCAATGTCAAGTTTTATCTCAACCAAGACCTTACATAAAAAGAATAATTGAAAGAAGTAACTTGGTCAATTGACCACTAAAACATAAAAGGGTTTATAAATAAGTTTGGTTAAGTTCTAATAGGTTATTTATATGATATATTATTATATGGTTTGTTGATTCTAAAATGAGGAAGATTTTGTAGGTAATTTCAGTTGAGTTCCAAGAGTCTGAGAAATGATATATGAGGTTGGTGTATGTACCAGTTTACCTGAATGTGAGCATTTTTTATGTGTCATTAATTGAGTTCTTATAGGCTGGATATAAAGGTTTTTAAATCACTTTTATTGAGTGGATGGATTTGCTGGATATTTTTGCGCTTTAAATTGTTGGTTGAGTTCCAAAAGGCTGACCATTTGATAAATTATGTCGGGTGAATTCTAGATATTTACAAATTGTTCTGTAACAACCGAAATACAGATTCATCAGCCCGCAAGCCTCACAAAAAATCTCACAATAATAAATTATGTAGAATTAAAATTTTAGAGGATGTTTGGAAAGTTTTGATAGAGCTGTCAATTTATCATCATCATACTCTGGTTATGTAAGAAAATAGATGGACCCCTGATGCTTGATGCATGGTCGATCGAGTTTCCCCGACAACGAGGATCGTACGATTCGCGTTAATCCCCCGATAAGAGACCCTTTTCTAAAATTTCCCCTCCGATGTCCGGCCATCAGAGGAAGAGAGTGTCATCGGAGGCGGTGAAAGCACAGGAAACGAGTGGGGGCATCCAGGTCAGATTTGGTGCTACATAAGCCAACTAAACTGCAGACGGATCGCCCAGTACTCTCCTACCTTCAGCGAGGTAAGCATCGTCAACTCATATATCATTTACGACTTTTCGAATCAGATCGAAACGTATTAAAACTTGGGGAAAATATCGCGAAAAACATCCAAAAAAAATCAAGTAAAGCCATATCACTCGATTTATTTTTAAATAAAATTCGGTTGAATTTGATAAAATTGTATTTATGTGTATCATTTTGAAATTTTGATCCGATTTGTGACTGGTTACGTGATCTGCAAGAGTAGCTAATTACCTACCATTATATTTAAACTCTAGGTCCGCTTGGTCTCGCTAAACATTAGTCAGATTTATCAGCTGAAACAAAGATAACCTTTATTTGCTTGCATAACAGTCAATTTCGTATTTCATAATTTCTTAACGACCCTTATGTACATTTTAAAGCAGATGATAATCCTAAATTCAAAAGGTGAAAAAAAATTATTCAACGCTAACCTTTCATCACTTTTCATTAAAATTAATTACAAAAGTATAATTTATTTATATTAGAATACTTTTCATAATAAAATTAGAAGATTAATCATTTATTATTATAACATAATCCAGTCGTATGTTATTAGTTCAAGTTTATATTTTGCATTTCTTTTTAACACAATAGTGAGCATTTTATGGTCATGAAGCATCATTAAATAGTTATTGAATATTTTTGTTTTTAGTACAATTTTCGTATGTCTATACTCGCTGGATTAGTCTGTTAGAAGCATTTTGGCATATCGTCATCTTCATTGTGTCTGTCACGGAAGAGACTGAGGCTGCATAAGCCGTTTAGGTGGTTACCCCAGTGCTATCCTCTTCCTTTAAGCCTTCATTGAAATTCAAATCAAGATTTATAGCTGACAAGATGTTACTTATGACTGAGGAAGGTTAGAAAATATAAACATTTTGAATGAGTAAGGTACGTCTCAAGTGGTAAGGACTTCCTCCCATAACCGATCGATGTAGGTGAAGTCCAGCACCTCAAAAATACACTGATGAATGAATGAGCTTACTATATATTTATTTGTTCACATAAAACATAGTTCATTTATAAAAAAAAATCATTGTACAAAATTGTTAAGAATTAATTCATGTGTCATTTTAATTCCTTGTTGTAAGTATGTAGAACCCTTAGGATATTTTTTTTAAATGTTGAATAATTATTATTTGCCGAATTGGCTTTGATGTTCTTTGTGTAAATATTTTTCAATAATTGTGATTTTCGAAGCATTTTGGGTCCGCTGTTTTTTGCTTGGTTCGCCCAGTGTGTCAACATTCTGTGTTGTTTTGACTAAAAAACGTTCCAGCTAGCGAACTAAGGAAACAAAATTAACTTAATTTAGGAAAATTATTACAAATGGACAAGATTTTCAAGATAATACAGAATGCGGAACGTAAAAGAAAATAAGATTTTCCCGAATTTTGGGGGTTGTTTGATCGTTTGGGTCCGCTGAATCTCGCCTCTGTTTCACCCCGAGTGTTTAGATTCATGTGCTAATTTTCATTCAAAACATGGCAAACTAACCAAACTACAGTAAATAATAAAATGAACATATCAGTATAATTATATTCGTCAATTTGATTGAGTAGGAAGCCTAACCACCACGGCCCGCCTAATTCTCGCTGTTTATTACCTTGTGTATCTTGTAAGCTTTTACAAACTTAATATTTTCTTAAAAGTTTGTTTAAGTGTCTATTACATTTTAAATGACATAGGAAAAAACATGTTTTTATCTGGCATATTTGGTTGTTTTCTGAACATTTGGTCAGTCTCGATTTTTCAGCCTGTCAGATGGGTTTCGGCTTCTCGACATCTTCAGTCGTCGGTCTGAGTTGGAATGTAAGTCTAGGTATGAAAAAACTCTTCTGCCCACTGATCGTATAACAACATAGGCGAAATTACCGTAAATGACTGTGTCTCATCCTGAAAATTATGAAATGACAGATCGACAGGATGATCGGAAAAGGCCAAACTAAAAATTCATAACCACACAGAACTCAATGATATTTAAAAAAATATTACCAATTTGTATGGAAGGTGACAGTGTCTCACCCTGCTTATAACCCTGACAAAGAGTACAGAGAAAAAGAAAAACGTGAAAATTGCATCGTATTAAATTATAATTCATATTTGTTCAACTTGACGTATCGATCTTATTACATCGAATCTTGCGGTCCGCTTGATCTCGCTGAGCTACCAGTATACAGTAAATAGTCAGACTTATCTTGTTTATACGGATAATAAATTGTTCAATTAATAGAGTTTTTGGAACGAAACGTTTTATTGTCGAAATAATGGTTATTAATTTTTAAAGAATGCGGGAGTTGAATGGATTGGCTTTGCGGTTTTGCGGTTTACTGTATTTACGATTTTTCTGTAATTAATTGTCTATTTATTATCCTAGAGGTAGGTGTATATAAAAAAAGTTTAAAATATTAAAGAGCTTTTGGTGGCTTTTTACATCAAAAGTCAAAACTTTTCCTTCCTGATCTTTCCAAAGATCAGATTCTGGAAAAAAAATAACATGGATTTTTTCTTTTTTAAACGATATATCAGCAGTTTTGACAGATTTTTCAATACAGCTCGCGTCCCATCGGTCCCATCGGAAAAATTCCGTGTAGAAATTGGCCAAGACGTGACTTCGCAGCCTCTCAGGTCGTCAACCCTCCCGTCTTCGAAAGTGGTTAACGGCTTGTATCATTTCAAAACGCTTCATTGCAAAATCACCATCAAAGCCTATTTGACAGGTCCGTTGAATTTTTAAATATTTTTTGTTTTTTACAATCGTTCGGAAAAGAGAAAACGTCGAACTTCGGTGACCCACGGCTGTAAACAAGTTACTTCGTGGTTTTACACCCAGCATAGGCCAAAATGCCATTTCCCCCCCCCCCCAAAAAAAAAATTATATATTCAAAACTATAACATTTATAGTATCAAGGCATAATTTCTACATAACAAAGAGCGACATAATCGTAAAAAGCAAAACTTAATAATAAGCTTAACTTACGGCCATTTTTTTTTCTTCTGACTGAAGAATGATATGGTTATACAGCGAAAAGCATCAGACCAATAATATCAATATTATATATTTCAATAAATTATAATAAACAATAACAAATAGAATATCTAATATAAACATAAGACAGACTAGGCTTATTTAATTAACGAAGTGGTTCAATACCTAAAGTACTGAATTTATAAAAAATCTATTTTCCTTATTTTAATGTCGAAAAATTAAAAGTTAACAGTAGACATTAGAGTGAAACTTTAATTTATAAAATGGATGAAATAGTACATAACCATTTTGTTGCCCATCCACCTCTCCTCAGTATCCCATACCGATGGATACCGGCCAACATTTTAAAAACTATCTTTCAATTAAGGTTTTTAGTTGAGATAAAAAATTAAAACCTTAATTAATTGAAAGATATTAATTGGTCAAGCGGATCACGAAACTAGTGAATTTAAAAACTATGATGGAGTTACTCTAAACGTCTTTTTTTTCTTAAAAACAGTTCATAAAGGATAGGTAATTTCTTCGTTGATTGCAAAGGGGTCTCCTATTGATGGTTGATTTTTTTCCTACCAACGTTAGATCCTTAGAACCAATTTAAAAATTTATAAATAGCATTCTCTGATGCTAAATTTAACTATATATTTTTCAGATACTTATTTAATACTAATCGGCCTTTTATTAGCAATTCCTTTTTTGGGCTTTACAATTATATAAATATTGAAATTTTAAACAAACTTGTATAGAAATTTTATTTAATTTAACTGCCAAATGGCTGACTGTTATGGACAAAAGAACAATTGATCAAATTACTCGGCAACTACTAACAAATCAAACAATTTTTCCCTATATTAAGAGATCGTTAATTTTGAAAATTGATCTTGCATTCATTATTTTATATTTTGTTCTTCCGTGGTGATTTTCGAAGAACAGTTGGTTTTAAAGAAAATCTCCATTTTTCTAAATTGTAATGCATTTGTTGACCTACAGAAGGACATGACCAATAGGAAACGGTTTAAAGAAACCTTGTGTTATTAAAACTTGTGGAATTTGAAAAACTTTGACTAATAATTGACAATAAAACAAACATGTTGAATAAAATTTTGACGTGAAAATAATTTTTAAATACTGAAGTTGTTCTTGTCTGGTCATGTTTTTAATTATTTTGTAGAAAGAAAAAATACTTTGTTTTGTTTATTTACTTGTTCGTCAACTATTTTTTATAAATGTTCTAACCGCTAACGTTTCCAAATTTCCTGGATTATAGTCAGGTGAAAGTATTCGTTAAAAAGATATAACAATACAGAAGAAACTCAAGAGAAACTGCCAAAACGTGTGAAATTTAAAATCGATCCTTTAGAATATGTCACACCCTTTATCTGTAGGCTTAAAGGAATAATTGACTAGGTTTTCGAACAAAAATTTGATGTCAAAATCATTTTTGAAACCTGTAGTTTAGCTTTTTTTATCACCCTTAACCTCCTGTTTGCCATGCTTTTTTGGCTTGGGGTATAAGCAGGGTGAGGACAATACAATATATATGAATTTATTCCTTCATGTTTTTAAATAATTTTCTAGAAGAAAATAGCTTGTTTTGATTTTTTACTTGTTCGCGAACTCATGGTTATAATTGTTCTAACCGTTTGCAGAATATTCCTTGGATTGTTGACTGATGAAAGAAAATAAAACAAATTAGAAAAATACAGAAGAAACTCCAGAGAAACCGTCAAAACGTGCAAAATTAGACAACGATAGACGTTGGCAAAAATTAACTAGGTTTTCGAATAAAGATTTGATGTAAAAATCATTTTCAAAACTTGTAGCTTAGACTAATCACCCTTAACTGCCTGGTCTGGGTTATAAGCAGGGTGAGGGGACAATACCACTTTTACTTAGAGCGAAAATATAATAGCCTACATTGGTTTTTAAAGAATCGTTTGAGAATTAATTTTTATTACCGTAGCAACCGCTAGGGTCTGGAGAAGATTTTCTTAGTTATTAAATGGAGGAAGTGATATAAAAAAATAAAAATTTAAATAAGAAACTCAAGAAAAAAATATTTTTTGGAAAATACTGTCGATTCTATAGAGGCAATTTGGCACAAATTGGCAGGGTCGTCTAAAAAAACATGTGAAATTTGAAAACGAGCCTTTAGAAAATCTCGTACTTTTAGTCGACTTCGGCAATAATTTACTAGGTTTTCGAACAAAAGTCGGATGTGAATGACAGTTTTAAAGCTTGAAATTCGGACTTTTCTATTTATCCTTGACGTACTTCATCCTTGACAAGATTACCCTCTCATACAAAGTTTGCTTTTTAACACCGGATAAAATGTACAATGCTGTCAGTGGCGTGCCTCACCCTGCTTATAACCCTGAACCAAATCACCAATGATTACGAATGACGAATGAAGATTACGAATGAAGAACACAAATGACAATAAAATAATCTGACAAGTCAAAACAGCATGGAATGACAGACCAGGATGACTTAAAAAGCCCAAACTACAGGCTCATCACTGAGAATCATGGAAAGCATTAAATGGAAGGTGTCGGTGCCTCACCCTGCTTATAATCCTGACCAACAAGAGAAAATAGAGAGAAATCGAAATTGTCTCGCATCCAAGTATAAATTTATATTTGCTCAATTTGACGTATTGTCTTTAATATAATGAATCTTTTGACGGTCCGGTTGATCTCGCTATACTGCGGTGAGGAATGAATAGTGAAACCTATGTTTTTTATCCTTATACGAAAAATAAATTGCTAGTAAACTTAATAATAATTTTTTATGTAAAGAATTCTTCACGTCAAAATATGTACAATGAGCTTTACAAGCTTCTTATGATAGTATTGATGTTTTATATTTTTTCCTTCAATCACGAGAGCACGATCTCCGTAACGTCTCGCTTGATCACTGTATCTTTTTAGTATGGTGCTCATGGTAATCGTTCGGTTTTTTGAGACTGTTAAGGAAATATTGAGCGTGAAGATTCGATACATTATCGAGGTCAGATGGACTTTTATTTTCTAATATTTTCTTCTAATTTTTGAGTACAGTCGATGATCGTAATTTGTATAATCTCAAAACCTTCCATTCCGGTTCAAAATGAAATTTTTAATGTTGAAGGGAAAACAGCTTTCTTTATTTCCTTTGATCTCCAAATGCCACTGTTTTCACTTCTAAAGGTGTGTATGTATTTCAAAATAAAACTTTTTTTTTTAAACCTCGGGTCGTCATTCCGGTCGATTACGTGACCGGTCGATCCAGAAAGGAAAGGCGAGGCTGACTAATGCTGATCGATCTGAATTATTAACAGCTTTCACCATGCACGAAAGCGAGCCGGCTGCGAATGACACCTGTTTACTAAACGTTTCTCCGTTTTCACTTGTATTGAAACATTCACAAAAAACTTTTCTTTTTTTGAAATCAGATGAAGACGGCGGGGCTGGTGTTCATCGGGATGGTAATCGGCTTAGCCGCCTCCTTCCCCCAGAACAAAGAAGGCGCCTTCTTCACCAACGAGGCCATCCGCCAGGCGCAGAACACCCACCTGATCCCACAAGGGGCCACCATACAGAAAGTCCAAGAAGGGATAGAACTGGCGGCATACGAAAGCATACCCGGCAACCAGAGGATCAACCTTTTCGAAATCCTCGGAGAGCACGTTCCACCTGAGGTCGTCAACAACCTCCAGACCCAGGTCGACCAAGTCGGAAAGTCTAGTTAAAAAAATACTCCACATTTAACTTCATTTCATTCATCAATCATCTTTCTTCATCTTCATCTCATTTTCACTTCATTTCATTTAAATAATTTGCACGGGCAACCTCTGAACCATTTTTTTCCTTTTGGTAAAAATCACCTTTTTGATTATATAAATAATTAACGTTGCCTTTGTAAATTTATCATTTCTTTTCATCTTTCATCGTTCATCTTTCATCCTATCATTTTCATTTATTCACAAATCATATCACGCCCCATCGATCATTTCTTTCATTTCATCTCATTTGTACATTAACTGTGGCACCTTCTCAAGTTCTTCGATGTCTGTAGACTTTATACTTTTGTAATAAAATTTTTTTACAAAAATTTGTGTTTTGTCTGTTCTGAAAGAATCCATTGGACAATTTATTAATCTAAAAACAAATTATTCTCCGATAGCCAAGTCTAAAATATTAGACGAAGTGTAAATATTTATGAAATTATAAGTTATTTTGATGATTTCATAAAAAAATACAAACCGTATCACAACTTTCTTATTCAAAATTAATTCCTAGCTTCATAGAATATGGTAGCGCTTCGGTTCTAAGAAGGTAAGATTTTGTGGGGGCCAAAGTAGCCGCAAAGCAAGTCCGGCAGACATCATGCTCTCGCACTAGAGAAGTTGGTGTTCCAAATTCTGAAGTGATGTCCGACTGACTAATCGAAGATGAAGATCAATTAAGCGAGAATTGAAGCGATAAAGATACCCTTTGTCGTCCCTTTTCAGATATTGTGTCAATTGGTATGTGACCACTGGAAAATAGTCCTAGTCCAGAAATAAATTGCTCCAAATTTCTCTCCAACAAAAAGAGGAATTATTGGATACGTAATAGACAAACCCTAATTTTGGGTGGCGTCCTTAGCTCTCAGGATAGCTAGTTCATTTCCCGTTGCCCGCTTGCTCAATTCTCCTTAAGTAACTTCTTGCTGCTCTACTGACAGTATTGTAAGAGGCAGATATTCCCATCTTTGCCAAGCTGAGTTGAATCAGATCCACTAGGTCTTTCAGACGCCCCCTGCTATCGGAACATAGTATCAGGAAGATTTCATATGCATGGACATGTCACATCCTTGTGCAAGCGAGGAGAAGCAATGCATGCCAAGTTCAGAAGTGCCACACATATGTCTTTCAAGAAGAGTTTTGTGGCTTTCAGCAAAAGTTTGTCGCTAGAAGGCACTCTATCTCTGGTTCCGGTCGGCCGGGTACCTTCCATCTAAGGTACAAAGTTGTGCTCAAACCACGATCACCTCAAATTTAACCTCAATTTGGGGCTACTAGGAATCGCCTCCTACCATGGTTCGCTTTTATTTTTTCCGTAAAACTGATCACCAATCCGGGAGTTCCTAAGAACCCCTACTGTTTGCACCCTTGCCTGGAGGGTCATACAAACCTCTGCCAAAGGGAAAAGATAATAAAAGTCAGAGAAAATCAATCCTCAATCATTTATCATTGTTTACACCTAGATGCCAGAACTGATGATAGGTCTTGCCTAGGCACGTCGACAGAGTTTTTCCTATTTTATGGATCATCGGAGATAGAAATTTCGGATTTTGGAGTAATTTTGTGCCTCTTGTCACGCCACTTGAATAGTTATCATGATGAAATCATGACTGGATTTTTCCCAACACCGAGACCGTCAACGCCTGCATATGTTTCGATTCTATTTTATGTTTAATTTTTTTGAATACAAGTCTAAAAAAATCAAATTTTATCCCACATTTTCCAGTTCACTAAACTCGTCAAAACCGGTTTTTATTATGTGTACTTCATCCTTCTGAATAATAGTTACGTTGGCAATGGAGATGACCTTTGGCCAGGGCATTCGGATCTTTCTGGCCACTGCTTTGTAAGACTGTGCAAGAGATGGGCATCGTGTCATAACTTTTCGTCGAGTGCGAGGATTCCACGTTAAACGATTGTCGATGTACAGTCCGAGGTTGCGCATCTTATCCGCATTTGGGAGGGGTCTATTATTTAAGTAGACTGGATGGGAGTTCATCTAGGGAAAGTGAAGTTGATTTGTTTGTGTTACATTTTTTTTCTTTTCTTGTCACACCTCTAATTGAAAGTTTCGTGTGAAAATGGATGTTACTAGAGAGGACCACTGTATCGTCTGCTAATATGAGTATGGCGGTTTGAGGAATGTCAGCTGAATAAATCTGGTATAGTACGGGCTACCCTGATATCCTTAGCATGTATAGGAAAATAGTCTGAGGAGGAATTGCCTTCAATGACTCGGGAAAAGCGGACAGTGTGTTGTAACTAGTAATAGCAGGTGGAACAAAGATGCTCCTGAGCATGAAGAGGAGGCGCGAAACTCGATCAATACCACAACTTAAGTCAAGAAAAGCCCCCAACTCAAGAAATGAAAAAATTTCTACCATACGATCCCACTGTTGGATAGTTGAATAGGAGTTGCGAAAACCAAATTGATGGAATTATTTGGAGCTTTTCTAAAATTTTACCCAAAATGAATAGTACACCTACTTGCCTATATGAAACGGTACAATGTGTTGGTTTTTTTACGTTTAGAGAACATTCATATATATGAGTGTTTCCATGCTATAAGGAAGTAAGTTGTACTAAGAAAAACCAAAAAATAAATAGTAGAACAATTTAATCTAAAATCAATATCCTTAAAAGTTTACATATCCAGTTTTCCATACCGCCGAGGGTGCAGCATTTTTCCCAAATATAGTCTCATCATCTATGAATATAAAATTTTTGCTACTTTCCTCTCCACGATCCTAAATCTTTTATAATTTAACTGTTTAATGTTTGCTAAAAAGTGTTATTCATATGTTTATGGAAATTATATCCGTGGTGTGCCTTTACTTCTTAAACTTCTTATTAAAAAAAAGAGCATACTTTGTTTAAACCTACATTATCTATTCTCTTCTTATATTTACTACCTCATATTTAAAAAAAAAAATCTTTTTTTATTACAATATACTATCCAACTATTCATTACTTTAAAATAATTTCGATTGTAATCACTCTGGTCTGCTTTTTCCTGCTCAGGGACATTGAGACATTAAACATTTTTAACTTTTATAGGGGCGTCCGTGGCCGCGACGGTGCGTTGACACGGGGCTCATCACTGTAAGGTAAAGGTCCCGGGTTCGAATCCAGCGGCCCTGCATTCCAAACGGACGTACTTACAAATGCGCTTTTTTCAGAAAAACACCGGCTCCCTGGGGGCTGTTGCGAACCCTCGTAAAAAAACTTTTTATAACCTCCTTTAAAATCATGAAACGTTTTCGTGGGATTATAGTTTTACATACAATTTCGAATATCTAACCCAAGTTAAACGGATAATTTTTTAGTCGCCTCGTAAATTCATCGAATAGATTAATCCGTTTGGTATCTGTAAACAAATCAACATTTTTTTATGGCTCGGTTCCAAAAAGGGGTTTTGATGAACATTTTCAAAGAGCGAGCCTGTTGCATAAGAGAGTCTCATATGGTGAAAGCAGGCCTTCTCCGCCCCTTTTCCACTTTCTACCTACTTAGGAATTCTATTTATTTATTTTTTATTTGTTTTTTACTTTTTACTCACTCTTTTCTTCCTCAATGTCACTGTTGGCGTGGAGCTGCTATACTGAAATCTCCGGTTTGAAACATGGGATTTCACTCTGTGTTCAATTTTTCTTCGCTTAATTGTGTGAAAAAAGTGGAAAAATTGCCCGTGAAAAATTTAAGACTTCGTTTTATAATAGGTTCGCTAATTCACTTCTACGGAATTTACGGATATTATCGACTTTCTTGTTTTATCTCGCTTTTACTTATAAAGTTATGCCTATGAACCTATGCCTATTTTATCCCTAAAATTTATAGATTAATATAAAATATTATATCTTATAATATATTTGTATATATTATTAAATCCAGGATTTTATTTAAAAAATCACTTTGTTTTTCTTTAAAAAAACAAAAACAACAAAATCATATTTAAAATAATTACAAGCAAATAAATAAACAACATATATAAAATGTTTTGTAAGTTAACTTATAATAAAATCACTGGCAGGAACTCTTGAGAACAATTCATTTACAACAATTTTAACTGGGGCGGCCATCGATTTCAGACCGATCGGCTGGAGGGTGTTCAGGATAAATCGCCAATTTCGGTTGATCAAATCGTTCATTCGGTTTCCTTAAACATAAAATTTTATGTTCATAAAAAAAGATCACAGGTGGCGAAAATTAACTGCCCAGGGTGTACAAACTTCATGTAAACATGACGTACAAAAACTCGGACAAACTGGCAATTAATTTGTAAAATGTGAAAAGAAGAGAAGACACCCCATGAAATAAATTAAAACAAACGTTTTCTGCAGAGTTCAACTACAAGCACAGTAAATTCAAATGAAACTAAATACATAATTAATTCCCCGTCACTCTCTCTCTCTCTCTCTCTCTCTCTCTCTCTCTCTCTCGCTCTCTGAATCTCTCTCTCTCTTTCTCTCTCTCTCTCTCTCTCTCTCTCTCTCTCTCTCTCATTCTCTCCCCCTACATTTCCGTAACCCTGTCAATCACTTTCTATCTTTTTCTTTTTATTTCTCAATCCCCTCACTATTTGTCCATTTTTTCTGATTCTTTATTTGTGTTTATTTGTATCCCTCCATCCCACTCTCTCTCACTCTCTCTCTCTCTCTCTCTCTCCGTCTCTCTCTCTTTCCCTCTGTTTCTCTCTCTCTATCCCTCTCTTTTTTCTCTCTCACTCTCTCTGTTTTTCTCTATCTTTCTCTCTCCCTCTGTTTCTCTCTCTCTCTCGGTTTTTCTCTCGATCTTTCTCTGTCTGTCTGTCTCTCTCTCTCTCTCTTTCTTTCCTGTCTCTCTCTCCCTCATCATCAATCCTCCTTTCTCATTATTTCTTACTGTTTAATTCTATCTGTCTTTCCTCATTCTCTTTCTAACTTTTTGTCCAACTCATGATATTCTCTCTCAGTTCTTTCTTTCTCACATTTATATCTGTTAATTTTAATCTCCCTCTCTCTCTCTCTCTCTCTTTCTCTCTCTTTCTTTTCTGCCTTTCTCTCCCTCATTATCACTCCTCCTTTCTCATTATTTCTTAATTTTTTATTTAAATTATATTTATTTTTTATTTAAATTTATATTATTTAATTCTATCTGTCCTTCCCCATTCTCTTTCTATTTTTTTCTCCAACTCTTAATATTTGTTCTCTCTCTCTCACTCTTATCTCTCTCAATCTCAATCTCTCTCTCTCTCTCTCTCTAAGTATTATATTAAGTATTCATATCTAATATGTCAACTTAAATTAAGATAATTTTCTTTAAATTACCCTAGTTCAGTCCATAGTTTTATATTGAAAAAATTACCTAAATCTTTGTTGCCATTGAAAAGGTTGTCAAAACGGACGCTTATGTTTTTTGCATCAGGGACCAACGTGGATTCTTTCACTCTGATGAACTCCTTTCCTTTTTTATTGTACTTTTCAAAAACAAACTTCATCCTCGATGTTAAATCGTCTGCAGGCAAATATAAACAAAACGTGGCACAGTCTGTCGATTATTGTTATTCTATTTTTACCTATGGTAATCCTGAAATTTCCTTTTCCTTCTATCGGCACAAAAACAACCCTTCCTTCGACTCCGTACTTGCCGAAGAGCACCAGCTTGGGTGTGTTGATTTGCAGATCCATAGTTTCCCAGTTAGTTCTACAACAATTTAATCTTTTTTTTTAAAGCACGAGAAAAAAAATTAAATACGAAACCTGACGTAGTCGACTTTGGCGTTTTTGAACCCGATGACTGAAACGTCGCGAGCAGTGAGTTTCAGGTCGGTGGAGATGGAACCGTGGTTGTACACAAAGAGCTTCATCTTCCAAGGGTCTAAAGGTTGCACACCCAAAGTTCTATTTCCTAAAATAAAAAGGGAAAAAGTATTTCAAACAAACCAATCTTTATCGCCTTCATTGTTACGAAAAAAGTTTTTAGGATATGCGGTGAAAAAATATTTCTTGAAGACATTCATCACGAATACAGTTTTATATATTTTTTTGTTTCTCATATATATAATGAGTAAATATTCTTTTGTAAATTATACGTAAAATATAGTTTAAAACCTGACCTTTTCCCAAATCCCTCATGGCATTTTGTATCGATATTTTCAAACAATCGTTCAAAGAAGTGTCGTTTTTGCATCTGGCCCAATGTGAAGCTGGAAAACCATTGAAAAATCTCAAAAAAAATCTTACGAAATTTGATTTTTAAACGAGCAATAAAAGATTAAGAAAAGTCGACATACGCAACTTTACGGATTCCACAGCGGCTAAAATAAGTACTGTAAGGACGGACGTGAAATTCCTGGAACAGGCCATCTCGACTGTGCAGATTTTTCTGCAGGGATCAAGTATATATATAAGTATGGAAATTAAACCGGCTTTTGCAAGCATCGCGAACTTGAACCTGCTAGCAATAACTTGAGTTTCACTTGTTCATTAAAAACATAAGGAAAATAAGATGAATTTAGATTATTTAGAGGCATAAAGATTGGTTCTTATTTATCGAAAAAAGTACCAGATAGAAAGAGTTTTAAATGCTATTGAATAATTATTGGTTATTTAATGAACATATAATTTTCATAGCATGCATCATGCAATACATCACATGATGAGCAAAGAAGTATTGTTTTGCTTTTTTATGGTTTAGTCGTTTCCTATCATCCTGATGTGAGGGAACCCATTCAAATGGCGAGAAGGCAAAACACGTCGGAAGACAAAACCAGCGAGGACTGTAGGCTGAAATGAAAAATCACGACGAAACAAGAGCTTTGAGTAGATTGAAAAAGAAGTCTCGACCTGCTTATAACCCTGACACACTACAACAACCCATCACGGAAACTGGATCACGGCAAATTGCCAAAACTCGTCTTGCAGACCAAATTAGCATGTAAACCAAATGTTATCTATTTTTTTGTAAAAAAAAAACTCTGTGCAAGATGCATTTGGATATTCTAAATCTTTTACCAGGCTGTTTGAATGATTTTTTTTATTTTTCCACCCCCCCCCCGCCGTACCTGAGGAAGACCCCATACCGGCGGACAAACGCTTTAGCTTAATCGACTTTGTATATCTAAGGGATTTCAAATAAATGGGATAAAAATACCTCCCAACGATCTTTCCTTCAGGCGAGACCGCTGGTCGGTTTTTGAAGGGACCATATTTTCATTTTAGAACCTAAAACAAAAGGTCTTCCCTTGCTTGTTTCCCCTTGCACATTTCCTTTTCCTTGGTTTTATTTTTTATCTATTTATATTATCTAAAATGTTCTTACTAAGAAGAGGAAAACTGCCCGGAGCCCTAAACCTAAACCTATGTTTAATTATGCAATAAATAGCGGTAATAAAACTCTAACAATAATAACAATATTTAGGACTTAATAAATAGAATAAATAGGGACTTGTTCATTTAAGCGTATTTGAGGCAAAGTCTTTTAGTGCTCCAAAAGATTTGATATCACAGACTAGCTTTTGGAGATTAGGCGGCCATTCTGCTGAGGTGATGGTCTTTCGCAAACGTTCTCTTTCTGCCTTGAATTTGATACAGCTGAACAGTTTATGTTCGGCGTCTTCTTCAGTGCTGCAAACGGAGCATAAAGGGCTTTCTCTTTTCTTATATTTATGAAGATAGCTTGCGAAGTTTCCATGTCCTGATAGCATTTGGGTGGCCCAGTAGTCGGGGTGTAGCCATTTTGCTTTTTGTCTTTCTCCAACGCTTGGGAAAAATTTGGATGTTAGCCGATCTTTATTGCTATTTGTCCATCTTTCTTGCCATTATGCCCTTGTCATTTTTCCCAAGTACTCTTTTGCCTCCGTCCCCGTTGTGCTTCGGAACCAGTCTATTTTTCCTTGGCTTGCTCCTATATCAATGGCGTCATTTTTCTTTTTTTGGTGGATGACCACTGGTCTTTAAGGACTAGGTCTATTGGCGGTGTGTTGGCTATTACTTGTAGGGCATGTGTTGAAATCGTCCTGTGCACTTTTGTGGTTCTTATAAGAGCTATTCGTTGGCTTGGCTCTATTATAGCTTTGCTTTTGCTAGGTAGTCGTTTGGCCCATCCGGCTGCACCATAACTTACTATTGGGAGGAAGACACTTTTATAGATTGTGGAGAGCGCTTTTGTGCTAAGTCCATATTCCACTCTCGCTATTACGCTCAATCTATTGTACACCCTTCTTGTCGTTTCCCTTATTTTAATAGCGTGGTGTACTGGGTTCAGGTTATCGCCTAATATTACTCCCAAGTACTTGACCTGATCGCTTGGCTTCACTTGTTTGAATGATTAAAAAGATTTCGAAAAAGCCATCACTTTAATAAATAAATTTTAATAAATAGTTACATAAATAAACAAATTGTTACAAGATCATTTAAATCATTTAACAATGAAATCACTAGCAGGAACTCTCGAAAATAATGCATTTGCAACAATTTTTGCAGGTTCGCCCAATGAGTGCAACGTGATCGGTTGTACCGTGTCCAGAATAAACCGCCAGTTGGAGTTTAACACATCGTTCATTCTGTCTCCTGGATAATAAAATTTAATTGATGTATTATTTTGATTGATTATTCATTGAAAAAATTATGTAGTTACCTAATGCCTTATTTCCGTTGAAAAGGTTGTCCAAACGGACCCGAATTTTTGAAGCCTCGGGAAGAAACGTTGCTTCTTTTACCTTGAGAAATTCCTTTCCTTTTTTAGTGTATTTTTCAAATATGAAGTTCATATTTGTAGTAAAATCATCTATTGGATAATAATTTAAAACGATTTTTGTTTTTATTTTACTTTTGAATTGTTATTTCAGTTCGTACCGAGAATTAACCTGAAGTTTCCTTTCCCTTCTATCGGCAGGAAAATAATGCTGCCGTTAACGCCATATTTGCCTAAAACCGTCAGCTTAGACGACTTGATTTGCAATTCCATTTTTTCCCAGTCGGTTCTGTGACAAACAACTGTTAACAAAACCAACATGGAAAACAGATATAAAACCTTAACCTGACGTGATCGATTTTGACGTTTTTGAAGCCCAGGACTGAAACATCTCGGACGGTAAGTTTCAAGGCGATAGGACCAGAACCATGGTCGTACACGAACAATTTGACTTTCCAAGGGTCCAAAGGTTGCATTCCCAAAGTCTTATTACCTAAAATAAAAATAAAAGTGTTTCAAACTAACCAATTATGCAAGAAGATGGTTTGCAGGTTAAAACATTATCATCTTTATTATCACTTAAAAAAGGTTGTCAAAGAAAAATGAAAAATATTTTATAAACCCTTGCTCTACCTAAAGGACAGGCAGTGAAGAACAATTCTGGCAAACTTCGTAATATATTTTTATTGATTTTTGTACTTTCTGATATATAAAATGAGTAAATATTCTTTCGCAAATTGAACGTAAAATAAATTAAAATCAAACCTTTGCCTAAATCCCTCATTGCATTTTGTATCGATATTTTCAAACATTCGTTCAACGAAACGTCGGTCTTGCACCTGGCCCAATGTGAAGCTGAAAAACCATCGCGAAATTTTACCGAATTTGATTTTCAAACATCAAATAATAAAACACAAAGAAAAGTCGACGTACGCAACTTTACGGACTCAACAGCGGCCAAGAGAAGTACTGTAAGGACAGAGGTGAAATTCCTGGAAGAGAGCATCTCGACTGCAAATTTTTCTGCGAGATACAGGTATATATAAGTATGGAAATTAAACCGGCTTTCACAAGCATCGCGAACTTCACCTTGTAAAGCAATAATATCACTTTCACTTAATATCATTAATAAAAAAAACAAAAAAAATCATGGCTGTGAGCCAAAAAATAAAGTAAATTTATGTGGTTCGGAATGTTTATAAACATAACTTTCGTTCTTATTCATCGAAAAGAGTGCCAAATAAAACGCTATTTTAAATGTTATTTATGATTACTTTATATAATGAATATATTCTTTTTTCACAGCATGAGGCACACTTCACGTGATAATGATTTTATTTGTGGTTTAGTCGTTTTCTGACCATCTTCGTCCTCGTATCCTCCTAGGTTTGGTCTGTCCGACGCGTTATAGATTTCGCCATATTTAATGGTTGTCAGGGATATAAAAACGGTGGGGGACATTCAATTGTTATTTTTCAACTCTACTAGAATGTTATTTAAAAACGTGGATATATCAACGTAAAGCATATTAGATGAAGAAGTTTTTGTAAAATTTGACAAGTTGTGGGTATTTTTTTGTAACGTCAGTAGAACGTGCAATCATGACGTGTTGTGTTGAATGTTCAAAAACGTGAGCTAAGGTAAATTTGAAGAGGGGGTAGAAATAAATCAATTAGAACTCGCTTTGTAAAATAAAAATGACACATCTGTAATCTCAGAAAAACCAACTAGTAAAGCTTCATACAATAAAATGCAATGGTTCTTCTTGTAGCAAGCACCTAACAACAAAAGAGGAACTTTTCAGAGGAAATGCTCAAAGTGTTTTCCCTCTTCTCGAATGCATAAACGACTTTATGAATTTCTACCCCCCTTCAAATTTACCATAGCTCACGTTTTCGAACATTCAATTGTTATTTTTCAACTCTACTAGAACGTTATTTAAAAACCTGGATATATCAACGTAAAACATATTAGATGAAGTTTTTGTAACATTTGACAACTTGTAGGTATTTTTTTGTAACCTCAGTAGAAAGTGCAATCATGACCAATATTTTAAATTTTGTAATGCTGACATGTTCCAATTGATATTGGCTAACATTTTATGTCATTCAGATTATTGCAAAGAAGTATCTTACAGCAATTTTCAAATGGTGTAATTGGATTTGTTGTAGTTTCAACATTTTGGAAGTTGTAAGCGTTTTTATGTTTTTAAGGTGTGAAAAGTTGAAAAAACCTAAATTGCCGAATATCTTCAAAATAAAGAACTTTCCAAAAATTTTCTCCTCAGCATTTTTTGCTTCCAACGAAGAGTAGAATCGATTCCCTGAGTTTCGTCAGAAGGAACTGCGACACCCTGTATACTTGACCACTTACACTCAGAGGCAAATAAAGTGGCCACTTAATATTTTTAATTATCTCTTATACAATCATTTATTGATTATTTTACTGCAATATTTGGTCCGATTTAAAGGATTAGAGGTAAATAAAACACAGATAAAATTTCCCACTTTAGTTTATAATTGGATATTGTAAATAAATCTTTTATTTGTTGGTCTTTTTGCAAAGTTTTTATCTAATGTTCCGTTGGTTTGATTTTTTTTTATGTTGTACCATTTTGAAGTTTCAAATTTGTTTGAGTGATGGTTTTAAGTGATAAAGATTCGGCATTGCATAGTTGGAAGATAGAAGAAATCAAGGGTGCGTGGCCAGAATGCTTATCAATCTCAGAACAACTGTCCGAATGTCTTCCATCGCTACCAAGATACTGGAGGTTACTCAAGAAAGCATGGATCGGGTCGCCATCGTATCCCATCTCAGAGAGATGATCGTTTTATTGTTTCGAATGTACTCCGTAATCCACATTCTACCGCTGTTGAGATCAAGCAACGATTTCAACAAGTCAGAAATGTTTATGCCAGTTTACAAAAAGGCGAATATCAGAAGCTGGATCACTGGTCCAGAACAGCTCGGTTAAGGTTCGCAAAATATCACATCAATTGGTCTGAGCTTGGATTAAAATCTTATTTTCGGATGGGTCAAGGTTTTGTTTGAGGTCTTCTGACGGTCGAAAGAGGGTTTGGAAAAGAAAAAGAGAACGATAATTCCCCGCAATGCTTTCACTCCGCAGAAGCTATGGAGGTGGGGTGTTATGGTATCGGCTAAACGAATGATAGAACTACTGCATTTGAGCACACATCTACACAACATGGGCATATACAACGATGATCCCATCTGCAGATTATGTAATGAGGAGGAAGAAACATCCACCCATATCATCTTCGAATGCGAAGCAACAACTCAATCGAGATTTAACCTAACATAGGAAAAAAACTTAGGGAAATTGTAGCAGCGACAGTCAATGACCTCATACTTCTAAGAAGAAGCTCTGAACCAAGGAATTAGGAAGGTACAATAAGCCAGAAGGCTGCAGTGCCTGGGGAGTACAAACCCGTTGCCTAGTATCCTATAGTATGGTATGGTGCATATGGTTTGGTCAGGCATTTCTATGGAAAATTGCACAAACTTGATCTTCATCGCGGGTTCCCTAACCGCTGCTCTTTGCATTGAAGATGTGTTATCAGAAGAAGTTGTTTCTTAAATGCCACAAATTGGCGACGATTGTATTTTTATGCATGACAATGCAAGGCTCCCCGCTTGGATCGTTGGTGACTTTCGGGAACGGGCTTCAATTCAATGTTTGGAGTGGCCAGTATGTAGTCCCGACTTAAACCCTATCGACCACCTTTGGGATGAATTGTTAAAGAAGGTAAAAAGTTACCCAGGGATGCCAGAGGATTTATAGGAGTTAAGAATGGCACTGTTGGAGTAGTATATTCCACCGCACTACATTCAAAACCTTGTGTCCCACTGAAACCAGACTCGTAGGATGGAACACCGATCTCTAATCGACAACGACAGCAGACTCGTCAACCCGACGAGTTCTCTCTTATCACTAATGAACCACCTACAACGATGGGAACGGTACTCTCAGCCTTAACCTCGAACTCGCCTTCCTACTCGGCTACAGGCAAACCGCTGCACTCGGCCAACTGCTGCACCAGAGTCCCTTCAACCGAAAGAGTCAGCCGACTCATGGCCCCAGCCTCAGCCAACTGCTCTCTATCAACAGGCACACACACTCGGTACCGGCCTCGACGCCACGCTTCCAAACAACATCGGCCCTTGAACCTCATAAAATCGTCGAATACAAGCGGTGATCAACGCAAGAGGAAGAAATGCCTCGAACGAATAAACTACACACTAATACCCAAAAAAACAATGTAACTTAGACATATGAAGACAAGTCTTACTTCAACCTGCTTATCACCCTGATCAGCTACAAACTGGCTACTAACTACACTGAACATGGAAAAGTCCGAAATGCCATAGCCTATGACAGACCAAGTCGATCATAAAAGGTAAACCGAGATGATCGGAAACAACCAACCTACAAAACAACAAGTATTATATAATTTTTTTTATTCTTCTTATCATATTCTCTCTAAGTCTTTGCCCTGGATGCTTGGAAAAGTCAAGATATTGATAAATAATTTTTAATAAATAAACTAGTTGTTACAATTAATCTTAAATCATTCGAGAATAAAATCTTTCGCAGGAACTCTCGAAAATAAGGCATTTGCGACGATTTTTGCAGGTTCGCCCAATGAGTGCAACGTGATCGGTTGTACCGTGTCGAGAATCAACCGCCAGTTGTAGTTTAACACATCGTTCATTCTGTCTCCTGGATAATAAAATTTAATTGATGTATTATTTTGATTGATTATTCACTGAAAAAATTATGTAGTTACCTAAAACCTTATTTCCGTTGAAAAGGTTGTCAAAACGGATTCGAATTTTTGAAGCCTCGGGAAGAAACGTTGCTTCTTTAACCTTGACAAACTCCTTTCCTTTTTTATTGAACTTTTCAAATATGAAGTTCATTTTTGTAGTAAAATCGTCTGTTGGATAATAATTTACAATTTCTTTCTTTTTTTAAATTTATGAATTGTTATTTCAGCTCGTACCAAGAGTGAACCTGAAGTTTCCTTTTCCTTCAACGGGCAGGAAAATCAGACTGCCGTTCATGACATATTTGCCGAAAATCGTCAGCTTAGACGAGTTGATTTGCAATTCCATTTTTTCCCAGTCGGTTCTGTGACAAACAACTGTTAAAAAATAAAACCTGGAAAGCAGTTATAAAACCTTAACCTGACGTGATCGACTTTGACGTTTTTGAAGCCCAGGATTGAAGTATCTCGGGCGGTAAGTTTCAAGGCGACAGGACCAGAACCATGGTCGTACATAAACAACTTGATCTTCCAAGGGTCCAAAGGTTGAACACCCAAAGTTCTATTACCTAAAAACATGTAAAAAAGTTTTTAAAATCAAATGGCTATAAAAAAAATGCATATTTCTGTTCAAGCTTTATCTGTCAAACATGCTGTAAGAAAGGAAACATTTATGACAAAAATGTAAATATTGTTTTGATCCTGGTCGGTAAGTTCTCACTTTATACATGACACGTGGGTTTTCACTGGTATAGGGTATTAGTGCACGACGTCCGGCATAGGTTCAAAACAAAACATCCTTTTTTTTTCATTTTGATAATGAAATGGATAAATATTTTTTAAAAATTTACACATAAAAAGGAAATATTAAAAAACTGACCTTTTTCCAAATCTCTCATTGCATTTTGTATAGAACGTTTCAAGCAGTCGTTCTGCAATGCGCCCTTCTTGCACCTGGCCCAGTGTGACGCTGAAAAACCGTCCGAAATTCGTACAAAAAACCTGATTTTTAAACAGTTTATCAAAGAAAAGACAACGTACGCAATTTGACGGATTCCACAGCGGCCAGGAAAAGAACTGGAAGGACGGACCTGAATGTCCTGCGACAGTTCATCTCTGCTCTGACAAATTTCGTGTGAGAACAACATTTATATACAAACTATGGAAACCGACTTTCACAAACATCTCAAAACGTGAGGTAAAACTTCAATTTCACTCTGAGCCATTTCAAGAAATATGATGAAGAACGAGGAAAAAATAACTACACAAATTGTGGCCCAGCAACAGCAATTAACCAACAATTAACCCCGCCAATCAGTCGGACTTAAAAAGTAAAAGTAATTTTATTTTAAAAATCAATATAATCAAACTGACCATGATTTAAATTCAAAGCAGGAAAATTGATCTTAGAGGTCTGGAGAAAAAGACCAAAAAACATTTTTTTAAACATCTATATCTGTATTATATCTTTTTATTGTTTATTCACTGCACCATGGAATTCTCCTCAAGATTTTGAAATGTTTTGGTGAGTTTAAATAAGTGCTTTGAACTTCAGAAGTCAATGGGCTACAATGGCGGGAGAAAAAGATTTCACGAGGCCAAGGGTCACTCCGGTCAGCGCCCACGACCAGGCGAGCAAAGTAAACTCGCGTAGAATTTTAAATAATAAACATTATTTGAGATAAGCATCTGTTATGCAAGTGCAGAATGTTTGGTTAAGTCCCAACTTGCCCAAATGCAGCAGGAAGTCGGCCGATTAACTTATGACTTACTCAACGAAAACCAAACAGTCGTGCTCTTAAAAATATGAATAATTAAAATATTTAAATAAATATACCTTGTTAGCTGAGTTTAAGGTAATTTTAATTTATTATAATTATGTATCTTTTTTATTTTTTGGTTTCTAAGAACTAAATTTTTCCACTCGTCTATGTCTTTCTTTTCAGACTTACAAACGCACTCTCCTTTTCTCTCTCACACTCTCACTCTGTCTGTCTCTCTCTACCTCCCCCTCTATCATTCTCACTCTCTTCATCCCGCCCTCCGTCTCTCTCATTCTCACTCTTTTCATCCCTCCCTCCGTCTCTCTCTCTCTCATTCTCACTCTCTTCATCTTTCTCTCTCTCTCATTCTCACTCTCTTCATCCTCCCTCTCTCCTTCTCTCTCATTCTCACTCTCTTCATCCCGCCCTATTTCCCTGCCTCCCTCCGTCTCTCTCATTCTCACTCTCTTCATCCCTCCCTCCCTCTCTCTCATTCTCACTCTCTTCATCCCGCCCTATTTCCCTGCCTCCCTCCGTCTCTCTCATTCTCACTCTCTTCATCCCTCCCTCCCTCTCTCTCATTCTCACTCTCTTCATCCCTCCCTATTTCCCTGCCTCCCTCCGTCTCTCTCATTCTCACTCTTTTCATCCCTCCCTCCGTCTCTTTCTCTCTCATTCTCACTCTCTTCATCCCTCCCTCCCTCTCTCTCATTCTCACTCTCTTCATCCCTCCCTATTTCCCTGCCTCCCTCCGTCTCTCTCATTCTCACTCTTTTCATCCCTCCCTCCGTCTCTTTCTCTCTCATTCTCACTCTCTTCATCCTTCTCTCTCTCTCATTCTCACTCTCTTCATCCTCCCTCTCTCCTTCTCTCTCATTCTCACTCTCTTCATCTCTTTCCCTCCTCCTTCTCTCACACTCTCTCTCCCCCTCTCTAATTAACTATATATCTGTCTATTTAGCTATTCCTATCTCCTTCTTAAATATTCCAAATCTCTCACTTTCTTTCTTACTTTCTTTTTATCTATCTTTCTCTCAATCAAGGACAAAGGAGTGGCCAAAAGAATCCGAATTCACCGTCAAACGATTATCTCGATTGCCAACATATTAATTGTTCAAAGGATGATATATACTGAATATGAACCGGTTTTCACGACTTTCACGAACTGGTGTGATGAAATTTTTTCCCATTATAAACATACTAAACATATCCAGGCCATAGCGGTCTCGAGGCTTTGTTATATTTAAGCCGTTTTTTGAATATGTGTTTTTTTAAACAAAATTGTTCGAATGTACTATTCGCCAATCTCGTGCCATTCTCACGTGCCACGATTTATTTCTTTATTGACAACACATCTTATTTTATTAATTTTTTTTTTAATAAGAATTTTCCTATTTTTATCAATAAAGAAATAAAACATTGTACTTGAGGATGGCACATCATCGCTGAAACCTTGTACATAGAACAGGTTTTTAAAAAGTACCTTCAAAGAAATAGCCTAAAAATAACAAAAAATAAAAATTCTTAAATTTTGAGGAAATTTAAAATTATTGAAATTTGACAATGATAAGATCGATAACGTAAAATGCCATATTCGCATAGGGGAGTCTATATGAAAGTACTTTCTTCTATGCTATTAAGTACATAGAAAGTGCGGAGTTTCAATTTATTGAAATTCAATTGTTTGAAATAAAAAAGCCAGTGTCATCTGCCGGATTCGAACCCACGACCTTCGGCTAAACACGCCGTTGCTCTGCCACTTGAGCTATCGTGACTTCGATCCAGTCGGACACCAACGTCCCATCTCAACCTACATTTCGAATTTTCCCTTGTTTTAACCAATACTTTATATAAAGATTAATTAATTGAATGAAGTTACTTCATTACAGTCAGATCACGAAATATAATGGATTCAATTTATAATGTTCACGATAAATCATTTTTGTAAATTAAACATATGAACGACCTCAAAATACAGCCATGCAGTATACATCATAAAGACCAAGTTCCAACTTTGTAAACGTATTTTCTGCGTATGCTATAAATTTTTTGTACAACTTTATTATTTATTGCTAATCAATAATGCATGTGGTAAATGAACGAGTGTTCCATTGATCATCCTAGACCAAGATATAAATAATTAAAATTAATTGTAAAGATGTTTTTCGATGTTTTATTAATTGAAGGGCGATTTTTCTTTGGCCTACGAAATTGCACAAAATGACAAAAATTGGCTAATTAATTTTAAATGTAAATATGTGTACTCAAGTGAATAATTTTGCCACAAAAACATTCCAGTTCCTCAGAAAGAAATATATTTCGATCATTCATGATGTGCTCGATCATTTTAGAAAATCATTAGTGGTCAAATAGTTTTGATCATGTTCCTTAAAGATGAGGGTAATCAATGCATGATTAAAATCTCTGTAGAACGTGTTTTTCGCGCACGGCAGAAATATCTTAATGAGACGTTTATGGTAGGAAATAATTGAGATGTTTAGTTTATATCTAATTTAGCCAGAAATTTCTCTCTCTGGTATTTATAATTTAAAACTCAATTAATAAATTGGGCTCAAATTATCTATTGATTTCGGATTATGACATATTAAATGGATCCGGTTCCTGGGCTGAGAAAGGCTTCCTTGCCTTCTGTCACGTACTCGCCGGTCGAACGACACGAAGAAGGAGATGGTATTGGGGAAGATCCTGAACTTGAATACCCAAGAGGACACGCTGACCGTCACCGGGTTCAAATTCTTTTATTTTGTTGCTCTTACGTTGCCCAGTCAAGGATGGATTCGCGAAAAAATCGGACCTGACCTCATGTCGTTGGAGAAAATTTGCGTGCAGATCAACACTGGTTAAATTTTCAAGGTTATTTTGTTCCAATTGCTGACGAAAATTACTGCAAATAATTGCTGCGTGACGCATTTTGCCTCTCAACAACTCTGTCTCACACACGAAGAGGAAAAGTGAAGAAGAAAGAGAAAAAGAGAGAGAGAGAGAGAGAATCTTTCTACTCTCCTTTCCCTCTCACTCTATCTGAATGACTGAAATAGGCAAATATTAAATCAATCTATTTATTTCTCTCTCACTCTCTCTATTTGTCTCTCTCACTATTTCTCTTGTTTATTTACAAAAATTTTGCCTAGGCTAGCAATTATTATCAATTTTCAATTCATTCAATTCAATCACATTTGACGTATCTTTCGTCTTTGATGAAAACTGAAGGAAATTTTCCTTTTCCCGTATGCTTCAATTTGGAGAATTTATAAAACAGATAAGCCTTCAGCTATAATTGTCATGGTATTGAACCAATTTAGGCCAAGGGATTGTCCGATAATAAAGGTTAATTTTCGTCTTTATTCGAGGTCTCCGTTTACATCTTCATAATTTGACGATTAGACCTAATTGTCCGGGCAGAATATATCGATAATTTGCAGTTTTTAGTGAATATTTTCCAAATATGAACAAATGAAAACGATAAATAGAACAAGGGCAAAAATATGAGTGTTGTTCTCATTTTGTTTGATTAAAAACAAAATCTATATCTCGTAATAGATATAGAACAAGTTCCTGGAAAGCATGTTGATATCAATTGAGAAAATGATGGAACAATATTCTAGCGGTGGTTGTCTGGATCCCCGGACATGTCGGGCTGGAGGGTAATGAACGTGCGGACGAGGCGGCAAAGGCCGGGACGTCCCACCCCCCAGACCGGACCATCGCGACCAGCCCCTCTGAAGCCAAGCTAGCAGTAAAGAACATGATAAAAGAAAGATGGCAGCGTCAGTGGGCCGGGTCGTCCGAGAGGCTTTTGCGCGACAAGAGCACGATTCGTAGATGGCCCCCCGAGAACTTGAGCAGGAAACATGGAATCGTCCTTACGCGATTAAGAATAGGCCATACGCGTTTGACCCACGGGCACCTGCTCTTGGGCCAAAGCCCGCGCAGCAGTGCCCCTTATGCATAGAAAGGTTGCTCGACGTGTCCCACATACTGGAAACATGTCATGCCTTGGTTCCGTACAGGGTGGCATGCCATCCAATCTGAAAGTGGTACTCGATCGCTGCAGCGGGTTTCTGGGTCCTCTATTCCGCTTTCTAGGGGAATTAAAAAAAAAAAAAAATTGTATATAGTCTTATGTGTTGTGTGTCTATATGTTTTGTCTGAGTGCATGTATTTATTAGCGTGAATGGCGAGGGGTGAGGGTGAAATATAACGTCATCATCGCCCCTCGAACGTTGAGAGCGTATGAGTGTGTGTTCGGGGTCGATGGCGGAATATATATAAAAGTACTCCATCGACCCCAATCTAGATTAGTTTGAGTATAGGTTGGTGGAGTAATATCAAGTACTCCACCGACCAAACGGAATGAGTGTACTGTATGGATGTATTCATGTGTATGAATGTAGTGTTTGAAAGGGTAAATAGAATATAGACTTGGTTGGGGGCTGAAATTACCTAGATGTCGGAAGCCCCAGGCAAAAAAAAAAAAAAAAAAAACTACCGCATTTAAGTTTTCGTAGACATTCTGATATATGTAACTTTGTAGTTTGAACATTAAATTTGAAAAAGATAATACTTGTTTTTATCAGTAAAATCAGAAGTACGAGAAGTTCCAAGTTTTTATCAATTTAAATTTAAAAATCCAATATATTTTGTTTTTGTTCCCTGATAATCTCTCCGTTTCTCACAAACTCTCTCTCCCTCACACACTATCACTCACTCTCTCACTCTCTCACTCTCTCTATCTATCTATCTATCTATTCTTCTATCTTTCTGTTGGCTAAGACTTACCCTCTATCTATCTATCAATCAATCAATCGATCTATCTACCGTTCTATCTTTCTGTCCTTTTGTTCTTCTATCCTTCTATCCATCTATCTATCTATCTCTCTATCTTTCCTTCTACATTTCTATCCTTCTACCTTTCTATCCTTCTATCTTTCTGTTGGCTAAGACTTTCCCTCTCTATCTATCAATCAATCTATCTATCTATCGTTCTATCTTTCTGTCCTTCTATCTTTCTGTTGGCTAAAATTTTCCTTCTCTATCTATCAATCAATCTATCTATCTATTGTTTTTTCTTTCTGTTCCTCCATCCTTCTATACTTCTATCCTTCTGTTGGCTAAGACCTTTCTCCTCCCTCACTCTCTCTCTCTTTCTCTATCTATCTATCTATCCATCAATCTATCTATCCTTCTATACTTCTATCCTTCCATCTTTCTGTTGGCTAAGACCTTCCCTCTCTATCTATTTATCAATCAATCTATCTATCTATCCTTCTATCCTTTTATCCTTCTATCTTTATGTTCTTCTATTCTTCTCTCCTTCTATCCTTCCATCCTTCTATCCTTCTGTTGTCTAAGAACGTCCTCCTCTCTCTCTATCAATCAATCTATCTATCTATCTTTCTATCTTTCTGTTCGCTAAGACGTTCCCCTACCTCTCTCTCTTTCCCTATCCATCAGACAATAAATTTACCTATCTACCGATCTATCTTTCTATCATTCCAGCCTTCTATCTTTCTGTTGCCTAAGACCTGCCCTCTCTATCTATCTATCAACCACAACCGATATTACCCCACTCTATAAGCACAGCGAAAGAGAGTATTAATTGCTGGGGCATGAAACAATTTCTTAAAGAATGGAATCTGTCCCCTGGACATAGGCAATTGAAGTAGTTTGTGAAGGAAATCAAACCAAAAGAATCGAAATGGCTATTCTCTAACTCAAGGAGGGGAATTAGGAGGCTGATAGGTATCCTGACGGGCCATTGCCCCTTGAGAAGCCACCTCTTCATAATGGGTATTTTACCAGACCCCTTTTGCCGCTTCTGTGAAACAAAAGAAGAAACGGCACGGCACTACCTCGCAGAGTGTGATAGGTATGCCAGGCATAGATTTGAAACTTTTGAAGGAGAGGACATCACCAAATCACTCCCCAAGATAAAAAGGTCCAAAATCTTGGGGTTTGTGAACAAGTCCAAGAGGTTTATGCAGGACAAGTGAGCCGACCAAGTGCCGGACATTTTAGGGATGGGGTACGAGTCTACCCAGGCATTTAACCCCTCGGGTCTTGGTCGCCCATCCTGCGTAATATATATA